ATCCCCTCTCATTGTGGCTGGAAACATGTCAAAAATAACATATAATCCAGCCTTTAAGGTTTTTAACCTTTTAATAATTTCTTTCTAGTTCTTTCATATCACTTTAAACTACAATTTAATGTACAATTTCATATACGTTTGTTGCTAAAAAATAGCAAAGGTCAAAGGTCAATGGCATGCAAGGGTTTGGATTTTTTAATATATTTTTTTGTTAAGTATAATGTTAGTAACGGAAATATATTCAGAATATTGTGCTTTTTTTGTAGTACAATTTGAATTTGAAACCCCTGCTGTAGACTTAGTCTTGTTAAAATACCGAGCAGGATTCATTTACAGCTGTAGAGATGACACGCATCAAAAATCCAAGTTATTAAATGTACTCCTGAACCCACGATATATTAATCTGATTGAAACTGAAGCGCCTGAAACTGAACGAGCTGTAGATGAAAGCTGAGCGGCGTCTACCATCTACAACAGATGTGAAATAAATATGCACACATGGAGGTACAGCCCGCTATAATGACAGAAACTAATGGCTTGATGTTGTCCTCTTTGCCTTTGAGCCAGGCGAACGACACCAAAAGGCAGCATTAATTCAAACCGTTTGTTGCTTTAATTTCATGGGGGAGGCTGTTTAAGGCCAGGAATCTGTCTAAAAGATCTTTTTTTTTTTTTCCATCTGTCGAGATCCTGATGAAGACATTCTGCTCGAGATGGTTGAGGAAGCATGTCCATGTCACAGTGCAGACACAGACCAGACTCCTTAACCGCGTACTGAGGCAATGGAAAATAGAAAAAGCTAGACACTTTTGCATGTCTCTGGGCAATTATAGCAGATACCACCGCTTATCCCCAAAGCTTAATCTAAAGATTGAAGCACTTCATCACAGGTTTATACAGCAAGTCACACCCAATACATGCAAAACCTAGAGCTTAAGTGAGTTCCACAGTCAGTGTCATATAAATCACATAGAGGAATCTGTTTTATTCAGTGGTGGAAGTTGCAGAAAACGCTCACATAATCTGTCACTGTGTGTACGTGTTATCTAACTCTGCGCTGCACTTTATTTGTTTCAAATCTGCTGCCATCTGGGATTGCAATAAAGAACAGTGAAGTGGGGCAGATTCAGGAGTATGAACACATCTGAGGGGATTTCAGGCTCAGGGAAGACAGGGAGAGGAATCAGCATTTTCCTCTTGAGTTGCAAACTTGCTGTCAGGAGACAGTCACTCCCGCTCCTGGAGAGGCAGAATGGTTGTCATTTAACACGGTTATGTGCAGCTGAATAAGACTCCTGCGTGCCTATTTTATGGGGATGTGAGCTTATGTTTGCATTCAAGTGCAAAGATTAGTTGAATTAAACAAAATGGCTGAAATTGATCAGAAATGTACACTCTCAAGCTAAAGAGAAAATCCCTCCACTATAGTAAAATAATGTCTGCAAAGCTGTGCACCATCTGCTGGCGTGATTGAGTGTAGCAACGGTGGCCCTGTTAGAGATGTGAGCAGGGACATTTAAAGTACAAGATAAACCCATAAATGTCATTTTCATAGATATAAGCTTGTAACCTCTCATGTATAACAGCCTAAAAGAGTCAGTTTACCCAAATTACAAGGTGCAGCAGTGCTTATGCAAACATGTTTAGCAGGTATAATGTTCACCATCTTAGTTTAGCATGTTTTAACACGAAGCCGTGCAGGTAATTTTGATTTTATGTGCTCAGATTATTGAGATGCCTCTGAAATGTCTATCTTTGCCCCAATACAGTGGACGTGAATACACATTTTGTTTGTAGTGCTTCAATGTTGAAAAATCACCCTGTTAGAAGAATCAGTGTCCCCGTTACTGTGACTCATCCAAAGACTTAATTAAACTTCTTTCTTCCAAAGAAATAGTCCCTAAAAACAATTCAGTGATGTTTATTTATGCCAAACAATATTTTATTCACTACCAATGTATTGTGGTGGAGGTAAAAATCTCTGAGGTCTTTAATTTGATTTGAATTAACATCTATTTAACCAGGAAAGATTCATTGAGATTAAAAATATTTTGTTTTTGAGTTTCCTGCTGGCGAAGTAAGGCAGCAATAACTATAAATTAGCGACAAACATAAGAAAGATTTTACAAAATGTAACACAAAACAGACATTTCATCCTAGAAAAAAACCTAAATGACACCTTAAAACAACCCAGAACACATTCAAATCATTACGATTCTAATAAACCCCAAAACACAGATGGAGTTCTGAAAGAAACCCTTTACAAGGACCATTAATATTAATTAAATGATAGATATACCTTTCACGGTTATCAAAACCATTTAAATCATTAGAAAAATGATGAAAATAATCAGACATGGGAACTTTACAATGTACAAGTTTATTTTTAATGAACTCTTCAGTGGTTGGTAGTCACAGCACAGCTTGCATGTATTAAGCCACACACCTATTTTACAAGATGACGGGAAAAACAAAAGAAAAAAAACAAACAAAAAAAATGTGAGGTTTTGAATTGACTAGATGGCGTTGAGCACTACTGTTCTGTCCGGTCTTGTACAGATGTAAAATTGGCACTACTGCACACGCTTCCCTGGAGAGAGAGAGAGAGAGAGAGAGCTGTATGAAATAGGGGAACGGCTAAAAAGAAGGATTAAAAAAAAAAAAAAAGAAAAGCCAAGACGTGCGACAGTGTACTGTAGATGTATTTAACTAAATACCTGTGGAGGCCAATTGTTTTTATCATTTAAGTTAAAATAAAACCTATACTTGTTATTGGTGACTTCATGAGAAGGATGTAAAGAATGTAGGAAGGAGGGAGGAGAATGATCCGGTTAACACAACAAACTTCCACCTTTTTAGCATAGCCCTATGCTAAGTAGCTAAATGTACTGTTTTTACTTCTCTCAGTGGTTAATAATGCTGTGTTAATGGACGCTATTTATATCTCTCTGCACATTGGAGCACATTAGACTGCAGGCGTTTAGACTGAGATAGCACACACCACAACGCTCGTCCTGTCCCAGCGGGGTCGCAGTCCCTCACCCTTCTCCAGGACCTGTTCTTTGTTTTTTAGTTGTAATCCGATCCTGATCAGGAACCCGTTTTGATCCCCGTCGTCTCATCTTTTCGTTTCAAGGGTGCCTCGCTTTGTTTTGGGGTTTTTCTTTTTTTTTTGTTTCTTCTTCCCTCTCACACCCTTTTTGTTGTTTCTTAGAGATTCTTAGAGGTAACTGTACGTGCCCCCCCCCCCCCCTTTTTCTTTTTTGCCTGCGCAATTATGCTTAAGAATGAACATCTGCAAAGGCAACGCTCATATCCTCACTGACACACTCTCACATCATCATACAGTACTTTCTCAAAAGTGCTCTGAAGTATCAGAAACATCAGGAATTATCTTCTAGCAGAGATTATACGCTAAGATGACCTGATCTGGCAAAAATAGAAAAACAAAAGAAAGGGAGTAAGAGACTAGAGAATACTGCAATGTATTTATTTTGAACATACAGATTACCAATTAAATACTTACTTGGTATCTGCAAGTTGGTATAAAGGGAAGAAGTACAGAGAGTAAGGGGTTAATATTTTTTTGTTTAGGAGGAACCAAGAAATAATTTACACTGTAAAAATGCTTTTAAAATTAGCTGCTAAATATTAAAGTAAAAAAAGGGTCAGCAAGGGCTTATAAAGCCCACATACGCTGTAAGTACACTGTAATTACAGTGAACAAGCAACAGCTTATTTAATGGCCCTTATACACTGTTAACTACACTGTAATTACAGTGAGAAAGTCTGGACAAGGGACAGCTTCATTTCAACCCATATCCCCTGTAACTAAACTGTAATTTTAGCATAAAATGTATGAATAAGGGAAGTTTTTCTTATCTTGTTACCCAGACTATAATTGGTTAATAGATACAAAAAATATTTACAATGTAATTCATGTCTTTATCCCCCTAAACACAAAGCTAATAGCAGAATATGCACACATACACACACACACTATGCCCTAAAGTATTCTTATGTTCTGCTCTACTTAGTATATACCTAGTAAGTATTTTATTGACCCTTTGTGCACTCAGTAGTTATACTGTGATTTGCAGGCTGCAGTCTAAAACGTTAAAGGACCAGTGTGTAGTATTTAGTGGCATCTAGTGGTGCAGTTGCAGATTACAATCAATACAATACAACCCTCACCTCACCCTCTCATTCCAAGAATGTAGTAGAAACTATGGTGGCTGCAAGAAACGCACAAAGCTCTATTTAGAAGCAGTGTTTGGTTTGTCCCTTCTAGGTTACTGTAGAAACATGGCAGTTCGACATGGCGGCCTCTGTAGAAGAGGTCCCGCTCGCTCTGTAGATAAAAACAGCTCATTCTAATATTCAAATTTATTTTCAGGTGATTACACACTGATAAAAACATAGCTATAAATATAATATGTCTGACAATAGGCCCTCCTAAATGTTACACACTG